TTGCCATGGTATCATTTTGTCTTTCTGAACAGGTAACTGTCGGTATGGAGCAGACCTAGCAAAGCAGCTAACAGACTCCCTTCTTAATGTCCTTGCTACCTGTGGAAGTGTCAGAATTGCTCTTTCCTACAAAACCCCTGCAAAGGTCTCTTGACACGGTTTTCTTTTTCTACCTAGAGTTATAACTGATGTTCTTCTTGAGTTTCACCTGGTACTTTACTATGCAAGCAGGTTTCAAGAGTAATCTTCAAAGAACTTGGAGATAACCCCAAAGTTTACATATGGAATGGCCAAGGTACCTACAATCAACAGCAAATTTTGCTTCAGCTTTGTGAACAAGTACAAGGCGACCACGAATGTTTCTAATGTGTTTTTAAAATGCTAATTCAGAACCAGATCCTTACATGGGACATCTAGCTTGGGGTGATGCCTTTGTGGTAACAGCAGATTCTGTCAGTCTGATAAGCGAAGCTTGTAGCACTGGGTATATAATATGCTGAGATAAAACCTTTCTTTTTTTCCAGCAACTTAAAGTATAACCTTAGTATTCATTGTCTGCTGCAGGAAACCAGTGTATGTTGTTGGAGCCGATCACTGTAAATGGAAGATTGCAGAATTCCAAAAATCTTTGAGGGAGCGAGGAGTCGTCCGCTCATTTACAGGTTTCGAAGATGTAAGTATCTTTTCCCCATTTTTTGTCCGTGTCAATGGATCCTGTAAAAAATTAGAGAGGTCTCTTGTGGGAGTTCTGTTACATCCTCCATGTATGTATTCATTTGGTTTGGTTCTAATGATTTTTTTTTACAGATGTCGGAAAGTTGGAGTTATCCGCCATTGAATGACACAGCAGAGGCAGCTACGAGAATACGGCGTGAATTAGCTGCACGTGGATGGAGTTTACGGTCTTGAATACTATACTCTTCTTTGCTGTAACATTTATTTGCGGAATCACATTTTGTCCAAAGCTGGAGAAACAGAAAGCCTAAAGAGAATCGGATGTTGTGCAGAAAGAAAGAAAAGTTGAAGATACCATTAAAAAGGGTCATTTTGCTCTAGTTTGCCCTAATTTTTTGCTGATAATGTTTTACCAGTAGGCCAAATACTCTTAAAAAATCACTGTTTCTTAATCGGAGTGGCCTTTGGGAGATAAAAGAAAGTGGAAAGTTTTTTTTTTTTGTTTTTTTAACGTTTGTATTGTTGTTCTGTCGACGAGATTTGACCGTTTGATATTTCACGCACGTGACCTCTTTTGTTAAATTTTCCCCAAGGTTTTGTAAATGGTACTATAGTTGTTTACCATGAGAAAATTAAAAGACCAAATGTGAAAAAATTTTAGAGATGCAGCAGTAAAATGAATATCAGGGAACTAATTTGCATAAAGAGGAGACCAAAGAAGAAGACATTCTGGGTTACTACTTTTCTAACGGAAACAATAATACAAAGTTTATGCATGACTTGATGAGTTGACTATAAACTATTGGATTTTGCATCTTTCATTAATATATTATCAAAGTATTTTCGCTTTTGATTATAGGGACAGGGCCGAATAATTTTTTTTTTTAATCTTTTTTTTTGATAACCCAGTATCCAGACCACACAGTGATCTGACTAGCCCACTAGGCCTAAGCCTGCGTCACAGGGATTTTTAAGCCTCCACTTAAGGGCCCCCTGATAAACTGGTGGTCTGGGGCGCCTGAGCAAGTCCGCAGGTAAATTCCCAGGTGGCCACAGGAGTGAGAGAGCGAAACTGCGTCTGGGGAGGATCGATCCCTGGCCTAGACCAACAAGTCGATCCTTCCAACCAAACGAGAACCACTCGCCCACCACCATGTGGTTTTTTTTTTTTTTTTTTTTTTTTTTTTAATCTTCAAATAAACGATTTAAAATTAGGGTTTTTTGAGCTAATCCAATGAAAAAGTGAAAGGTAGTATTGTTGTAATGGGGAGGAACTAGGGTTTTTAGCAGCCCCCCAGTAATATATATATATATATATATATATATATATATATATATATATATATTGTGAGTTTAAGAAAGAAGAGTTGGAGACGCCTTCATCATCTCCATAAGATGGCAAAGAAGGACACCAACAAAAGAGTGACCCAGAGAGTTGTGCCAAATCCACAAGACATCCGATAGAATGTCTCCGGTAGTCACATATTTCTGTACAAGCTACGATCCTTTTAAGGTAGATCCAAAGTTAACGAGAAACTGATCGTCGCATATTTTTTTATCTACCTTACACGGATCGGAGTTCGTAGCTTGTAGAGAAATATGTCCGAACTCTACTTTTTTCACGTCGTCCATAGGTTGGTCGTCTTTGTCTCCAATGGCTTGTTTTAGAGTAGGATTCTAAAACTCACTATTTATATTACTGGGGCTGGTAAAAACCATAGTTCCTCCCCATTCACACTCGCACAAATATTAATGAAAGAAGCAAAATCCAATATAGTAAACTCATCAAGGCATGCAGATAAACATTGTATTAATGTTTTCGTTAGAAAAGTAGTAAACCCAGAATGTTTTTAAAAATAGAAGAGGTTGCTTTGCTTTTGAGAAAAGCCAAATAACGCCGTTTTGATCTATAACTCACTATATCCTCGGTCTTAGCGGATGAGTCTAGCTTCTGTTCCTCTCTCAAAACATGTACCGAACAATTCACAATTCTGCGATTCCCTGGTCTGTTTCCGGAGGTCTCTCGCTTGTGAACTTTGTAGTTAGTAGTCGTCTGGGAAGATGAACTGAAGATCTTGGTTGTCTCTGTACACTTGAACCAGAGCTGCGGCTTTGTATACAAACAAACCAACCATGGCTGGAACTATCTGCAACGCACAACCATTGTCGAGAATAAGAAGGTTCAAACTTTACAACAAGTTGTGAAAAGATAGCTATAATCGGAGAAACAAAATTACAACTTTGTGGAAACATGAATAAACAAAGCTGAAACCTATAGCAAATTGGAATAGCTACCTGAAAGTCGAACAAGTCGTTCTGGAAATACTTGTGAGAGAGTATCCACAAACCATAAATTGCAGCCGGGATCACCAGGCGTGGAGAAGAGAGAGCCAGACCGCTGCCCCTGATGGTCCTCTCTACGAAGTCCTCAAGGTCTTCACTTCTGATCCCGATTCTGAGTTCGGACAATACAAAAGCAATGTGAGAGTATGGGAAGTGAGAACAAAACGTGACCAGACTATAAAGTTGTCAAGGTCTTTACTTTTTAGACTTTTTTTCCAGGAAGATACCAGGAACAGCTTCACGTGAAAGCCCATCAGCGTATCCGTATAAAAGCTGAAGGTACAAGCAACTGCACTGGAATCAGGTTTGGTTAGGAATGCATGAGTGCTCGTCAAGCATGTTGGAGAACTTATATAGACAACTAACCTGAAAAGAACCCCAACTGCATAACTGACTGCAGCCTGTCAGATCACACAATATTTCTTTAAGACACATTTTCGTATGACTAATCTAATGAGGGAGTATAGAGAAGCCATGGTATAAAGTTGTTAGAGCTTTGACAGAGGTTACCTGAGCTGATAAAGCTAGTAAGCAATATCCGCTGCACCCAGTTCCAATTACAATCGACAGGTACATCAGTTCACGCTTCAGCTACAAAATTAAGGACACAAACACAGCAATTTTAAACTTCATTCTACACAAATTAACCACTAACATCACATACTGAACACCCATTTTCCACAATTGAGTGTTTTGATGAATCTTAAAGATTTGGCTGCAGATTAATTAAGAAACATACTGAAAGTAATAATCATACAGCTTCATATTTCAGCAAGTTAAATTTCTTCATTCTCTCCCTGTCATCCCGTAATGCCTGCAATCGAACCCAAAGGGTTATCGAGGAAGTCGGAAAAACGCAGCAGAATATTGCAATGAGAAGAAGGGTGTGTGAAATAAAGAGAGAGAACTAGAAAATTTAGCAATAGATGACTCACCTTAGCTAGAGCTTTCTTATTTGTGGGGGCGGAATCACTCTCCCAACCAATCCATTCTTGTGTCGGTTTAAGTTTCAAGAAACCACTTTCATCATCATCATCATCTACGCCAGCTATCAAGCTCTCCTGCATATAGAACATAAATACATTGATAAAGGACCTATACCAACCAAAGTAACAGTTCCAAATAGAAGATTGTTGCCATGAATGCTATAAATTTGTGAGATTTCAGAAATGCACAAACCAATACTAGATTTCATAAAAATGTAGTGACTCACGTAACAATTGCAACAGGATCATATAACTATTCCTCGATACATAGTAAGCAATTTCAATTGTCAAAAGCAAACTTAGAACTAAAAAAAACTAGCAACAATTACTAATGAACAAGTGAAAGAAACTTTACCTGAGTCTCAAGTCCAACAGTTGAAGAGGAAGCTCCATTGGAATTAAGATCAATAGATTCGAGAATGTCCTTTAACCAGAGCCTATCAGAAACTTTAGAAATGAAATCTCCATTTTCTTCTCTGTCTTTCAAGAACATTTGCAACACATCCTCCTCCACTAGCTCACTCACTAAACAACAAAACACCAAAAGACATGAACTTTTCCACAGAGAGCGAACATTTGAGAAGGAAGTTTCATTGTAGAGAGAGAGAGATATATATATATTGTAACCAGAGCGAGAAGCGGCGTTAATGGCGGAGAAGCGAGGGGAATTCCTGTTCGACGGTCTCCGAAGATGATACGGTAGAGAAATTCTTACATTCGTCGGAGGAATGGTTCCGCCGGAAAACCAAGAAGCGGCGGGAATCGAGAGACTCTCCATGTAGCGAGAGACTGCGACAACGAAGAAGCACCAAAAAAAAAGCTTATCCTATTCTTACCAAAACGAAGACCCTTTTATTATTCCTATATTTTAATTTCACCCCTTAATTTACATTTATGACTATTGAGTCCTAATTGTTTCGCCGCTTCAATTTTCCTTTTCTCCAATTGTTTTTCGTTTTCTTTCCATTTTATACTTTAAGAAGTTGTGGGGTGATTTTGTAAATAATAGAGAATATAAGGCCCATTGTTGCAACAAAGTTTTTAACATATAAACCTTGTTAGGAAGAGGTTTTTGTCAATTTGGAGTTAGAGGGAGGCGTTGCCAACTCTAGAGAGCTCAACTATTTCCGCCGCCGTCCTCGTCGTCGGAGAATATAACTAAAGGCCTAAATATCACAGTAATTGTAGACGGAGATGGAGAAAGTAAAGATTGAAGAAATTCAGTCCACCGCTAAAAAACAGCGGATTGCTACTCACACCCATATCAAAGGTCTTGGCCTTGAGGTGCTCCTTCTCCTCTCTCTCCCTCTCCGTCTCCGTATATAGCTCTATTTGACTTTAGTAGATTCCCAGTAGTTTGCTCGAGTCTAGGGTTTAGTTAAGGTTTAAAGTTCTATGCTTTTTAGGGTTTTATAGCTAGTTGCTTCGTTTGGTACGCTTAGAGACTCGTTTCTCTGTTCTAGCACAACCAAACCCTAGTTTGCATTTTTAAAGTTTCTGACTTTCTTGGGGATAATGCATCTAGATGTATTGCAGTATGCTCGTATTGCTCAAAGTTCTTCAAGGTTTTGGGTTTAATGTAAAGTCTTAGGATTTTTAAGAGGTTAAAGCTAATTGCTTCGTTTGGTATGCTCCTAGACCTTTTTTGGTTGTAGCACAATTATACCCTGGTTTTGATTTGCAAAGATTCAATTGAATGTATCTATTATGAACTATTGTTCCTAACGATGCTTGAAGACCCATACTTTGCCTTGCTCTTCCACTTTGGCACTGCACTGTGATTTTATTTAGCTATCTAATGTTCTTTTACTGACTGTAGTTTCTTAAGCATGTGTGTGATCTCTTTCTATATCCAGTACATCATTTCTGTTGCTAATGTTGCGTCTCCTTTTCTAGCCAACCGGTATTCCTATAAAATTGGCGGCTGGATTTGTTGGTCAACTTGAGGCTAGAGAGGCAGCTGGTCTTGTAGTGGACATGATTAAGCAGAAGAAAATGGCGGGTAAGGCTCTTTTACTTGCTGGACCTCCTGGAACCGGGAAAACAGCATTGGCCCTTGGAATTTCCCAAGAGTTGGGAAGTAAGGTAATCTCAGATGTCTTCATGTTGCGTCTTCTTTATTCCATGTTTCCTCATTGTATGAAGCATTCTATTTTACTATTAGCTTATGTTATATGGATTGTTTCTTCCTCGCAGGTTCCATTCTGTCCAATGGTTGGATCTGAGGTTTACTCATCAGAGGTTAAGAAAACAGAGGTTCTCATGGAGAATTTTAGACGTGCCATTGGTCTACGTATCAAGGAAACCAAAGAAGTCTATGAAGGGGAGGTGTGTTGCTATTTGCGGTTTCTTTTACTGTGAATTCTTATGCAGTAGTATCTCTCGCTGTTTGATTTTTGACATGTTTTCCTTGAGTTCTAGGTCACCGAGCTGTCACCAGAAGAAACTGAAAGCCTCACTGGAGGCTATGGTAAAAGCATCAGCCATGTTGTCATTACACTCAAGACAGTCAAAGGAACTAAACATCTGAAGTTGGATCCCACTATATACGATGCCTTGATTAAGGAAAAGGTCAGTTCTTTGAGTTCTTGGCATGTGATGCTATGCTTTGGATGTGGTACTTTTTTCCTAAGTTTTTGCCTTTCAGTTTTTTCCAAAACCTGCTATTCTTTTCACCTGTTTGGTGTATGAAGTTACTGATTACTTTGTCATTCTGATTGGTTTCTTGTTATAATTATTGTTTGCCTCTCAGGTAGCTGTAGGAGATGTTATCTATATCGAAGCAAACAGTGGAGCTGTCAAACGGGTAGGTAGAAGTGATGCTTTTGCCACTGAATTCGATCTGGAAGCAGAAGAATATGTTCCACTTCCCAAAGGAGAGGTTCACAAAAAGAAAGAGATAGTACAGGTTTACCTTCTATGGCCTCTGCTTATCCCAACAACTCTTCTGTGTAGCAGTAATTATTATCTGTTGTGGATTAGTTTGTATATGTCTTTTGACCTTAGTTCCTATTTTTATTATGACTACTTATTACTCAACTAGACTGTATACTTTTGACTTGAACATTTCTTTTATTTTATCTCTAAAATTTCCTTCACTGTGGAAAGGATGTCACACTCCAAGATCTGGATGCAGCAAATGCTCGACCTCAAGGTGGCCAGGATATACTTTCTTTGATGGGACAAATGATGAAACCCCGGAAGACTGAGATCACTGATAAGCTTCGGCAAGAAATTAACAAGGTGATTTTCACTAGTACATGGGTGATTTTCGAAGACATCTTACTTTCTCTTTTGCAATGTCTAATATTTGTATATGGTATTGTAGGTTGTGAACCGATATATAGATGAAGGTGTGGCGGAGCTTGTTCCTGGAGTTCTATTTATCGATGAGGTATTTTCTTATTTTCATTCCACCATATTGTTCTTGCTCAGGACTCTGGAGCAGTAAGAATAACTTTGTTAAGTTACAAAACCTCAGGTTCATATGCTTGATATGGAGTGCTTTTCATACTTGAACCGTGCTCTTGAGAGCTCATTATCTCCCATAGTGATATTTGCAACAAATAGAGGTGTTTGCAACGTAAGGTGAGGAGAAGCACTAGACCTTGATAGGCATTTTTTTCTTTGGAAATCTTGTGAGTTTCTGTTAACTTCGTAGTGTGATTTACTTTATTTGCAGAGGGACTGATATGCCCAGCCCCCATGGAGTCCCTATTGACCTATTGGATCGATTGGTCATCATCCGGACTCAAATCTATAATCCCTCTGAAATGATACAGGTTACTCAATTGTCATTTAGTTTTTGGATTTCAATTACCACTAACAACATTCTAATAGATTTGTTATTTGTCCCAGATTATAGCCATTCGTGCGCAAGTTGAAGAATTAACCGTGGATGAAGAATGCTTGGTTCTACTTGGGGACATTGGGCAAAGAACTTCACTAAGGTACTGTCATCATTGCTTTTCTAAGCAAGATTTTTGTTCTCTAATCTAATACTAAAACCTTTTCTGTGCTTTCACTTTCAGGCACGCTGTGCAGCTTCTGTCTCCTGCCAGCATTGTGGCGAAAATGAATGGACGTGACAATATTTGCAAGGTACTTTGGTTGTGAATCTTAGAACAATCAAAAGCAATGTAATGTGTGAATGTTATGTTATTAATCCTTCATCTTAAATTTGACAGGCTGATATCGAGGAAGTAACATCACTCTACTTGGATGCCAAATCTTCAGCAAAGCTTTTGCATGAGCAACAAGAAAAATACATCTCATAAGAACACTAGTCGCACATTTTATCGAAACATCTCATAATTTTTCTGCGATTACTTTTCTTCAACTATTTTGTATTGTCGGGACTTGGAGATTGGAGAATGGCTAGTCTATTGAGATACAATTTGTTTCTCTGAATTCGGTTGATAATATTTTGTTTGTAGTGCTGAGTAATGAAAACTGAAATATGGTTTCATGTATTTTAAATTTCATCTGAGCCAATACTTGGTTTGGTCTTGCGATTCAGTGTTTTTGGTTTTAGTATTGAGTTATCTAGTTACATAATACTCTCTCTATTCTTAGAAGATTGATTTTTTTAGAGGTTTCACATATTTTAAAAAATAATTGTTGTTTAATTATTTATTTTTATTAAACATTTTTAAATAAATTATGAACTAATAGTAATCTGAAACAGTTAATTATTACGGGAACAGAGACGGTCTTTTCAATAGAAGAAGGCTAGGGTTTTAGTGACAAAGGAAGAAGACGAAGACGGCGATGAATTCGTTAACCGTTGAACAAGTGCTGAAAGAGAAGAAAACCCATGACCCAGATTTCGTCAAGGAACTTAATCTCGGCCACAAAGCTCTCACCGACGTGAGTATTATTGTTTCTGTTCTGAAACTCTGTTCCCATTAAGAAACTGATAAGAAACCCTAATTGTTTAATTGATCTTTAGGTGTCTTGTTTGAGCAAATTCAAAAACTTGGAGAAGCTTGATCTTCGTTTCAACAATCTCAAGGATCTTCAGGTCTGATTGATACATAATCTCTTTGTTATTTAAGCATATAGCAATCCAAAAGTTGTGGTTTTTAACTTTCTAGAGCTTTTTATGTTCATGTTTCAATTGTTTTTAGGGACTCAAGTCTTGTGTGAACTTGAAATGGCTTTCAGTTGTGGAGAATAAATTGCAAAGCTTAAAAGGAATTGAAGCACTCACTAAGCTTACGGTAAGTTCCACTGATATCACTAAGCTTGTTTCTTTGAATAAGAAGAGATGTTTATCACTTATCAAAAGTGAGGTTCTCCAAGATTAAGCTTTTCTGTTGATAGAAAACGAGTAAAGATGTGTGCTTTGATTTGATTGTGTGATGTCGTTTGTTATCAGGTGCTAAATGCTGGAAAGAATCAGCTCAAATCCATGAATGAGATCTCTTCTCTTGTCAATTTGCGGGCATTGATTTTGAATGGTGAGTTGTACGACACAAATCAACGGTTTTTTTGTCTTTGCATCCACAAGCTACTATTGATTACTTACTCGTCGTTATTGTTTCACTTCTTGTAGACAATGAAATCTCCTCCATTTGCAAGCTAGATCTACTGAAAGACTTGAACAGTCTCGGTATGTTCTTACATCAGAACAACGCGTTACTCTTTAGATGTAAATGCCGATTTCATTGTACTTAAATTTTTGATGAATTCATGCAGTTCTTTCTAGGAACCCAATCAGTGAAATTGGTGACTCACTTTCAAAGTTGAAAAACCTCTCTAAAGTAAGCTCAAGTTTTCCTCCCGTTTCAGAATCATAGCTAAACTGATCCTTATCTAATCCCATCTCGGTTTCAGATTTCTTTGTCTGACTGCAGAATAAAAGCTATTGGTTCTTCTCTCAAGTCATGCTCTGATTTGAAAGAGCTGCGACTCGCGCACAATGAAATTAAGGTGATCTTTCTTACATTTATGCAATTCTACAGAACATCACCTGCCCTTTCCACAATCTATATTGCTAATGGTAATTTCATATACGCTTAAATCTTCAGGCCCTCCCAGCAGAGCTAGCACTCAACAAAAGACTACTGAATTTGGATGTGGGAAACAATATGATTACGAAACTCTCTGGTTTAGAGGTATTGTTCGCCTTCCCTAGCATGTGGCAAGTTTTTGCGGTGATCTAATAATAAACCGTCAAAATTTTGTCCCAAATGATAGGTTTTGGGTACACTATCTTGCTTGCGAAACCTGAATATTCGAGGAAACCCGATCTCTGATAACGAGAAGTCAGCTAAGAAGGTAAAACCCCTTTTGTACTTCTTTTTTCCATTGTGATTAGTGTTACTGCGTGAAGAAATCAAATAAGAATGAGAAAAAATGTTTTGATGTCGCAGGTGAGAACGTTGCTCCTCCCTTCAGTGAATGTATTCAACGCTCAACCCTTAGAAAAAAGCTCAAGGAATGCAAAGCATACCCGGCTTGATACCGATGATGAAAACTTTGATGCTCATCACAACAAATTAGGAGAAGAAGAACAATCCAAAGAATATCGAAAAAGCAAGAAGAGCTCCAAGAGAAACAAGTCAGAAGAAGAAGAAGAAGAAGCCAACAATGATGATCACAAGACCAAGAAGAAGAAGTCTAAGAGCAACCCAAGTGTAGATCAAGTTGAAACAGAAAAGAAAGAAGAACATAAACAGAAGAAAATTCAAAGTAACAATGATGATGATGATGCTGAGAAGAAACAGAAAAGGGATACTCCAAAGCAGGAACTCGATGCTATCGATGATGCTGAAACCTCTTTTGCAGAAATCTTTTCCCGGGAAAATGTGTCAAAGGGTTCTTCTGGTAACGGTATTGAGAAGAAGAAGAGAAGCAGTGTGCAAGAGACAGGTTTAGTGAAAGTGATAGATACTAAAGCTAACAAGAAGAAAATTGAAAAGAAGCAAAGCAAGAGTGTAGTGATTGATCTTCCCATGGAAGTTGAGATCGGGTTAGGAGGAGAGTCTAAGTGGGAGTAAACTGGAAAACCGAAACTCCGGTGGTGCAACACTTTAAAGAGAAGGGACAGATATGACTTAAGCATCCAACGGCTAGGGAGGAGTATTTTTGATATGGTTAAGAACACAAGAGAGGAAGAAAATGGTTTTGATCTTCTTTATAAATGGTTTTTTGTAGTGTTGAGATTTGAGAAGCTCTAATTTTGCACTGTTTTTAACATCTTTGACTACAATTCTATTTTTATAAAATGTTTTGTAATGTTTCTTGAGAATTGTGGTAAACGAGAAGGGCCAAATCCAAAAAAAAATAAAAAATAAAGAGTCAAGATAAGGTCCCACCGAGACTTGAACTCGGGTTACTGGACTCAGTGTCCCATGTCCTGACCACTAACCATGGGAAAATTCTGTTCTAGTTTTAATATTTGTTTTATTTATCAATTAGTTTTTTGTGTTTAATAAAAATGATAAATCTAATGATCCAAGCTTTTCTTTTCTTTTCTTTTCCGACCAACAACTTTGTAGTATGTTTTTGTGTTGTGATGGTGATTGTTCACATCCCATCGAAACTATTTGATAGAGAGGTAGCATGGACATCAGTTCGGTCGAGTTTTGGTGAATCTATTCCGATTCACGAGATATTCGCCGAGCCGCATCCCAATTTCTACCAAGACATTTCGTGAAGTACGTGAATTGTCATCTAATGATACAAGCTACATTAGATTAAATGAATTAAAATTAGAGTTAAATGAATGACTCTGGACATTCGGTGAATCGCTGTAAGAGTAGTTAGTATATTGAATAAAAGTATGATAATGTGACATTTTAGTCAAGTTCTCCATGTGATATGTGAGTAGTAGTCAAAGACTCAAAAGTGAGCAACATACTAGGACCCATTTTTATCAGAACCGTTCATCTATGTTTTTATTTTTCTTCACATATTTTAAAATGGGAAAAATGTTATTTAATACCTAAACTTTCAAAAAGTGGCCAAATTAATCGTGAACTCTTGAAATGGCCATTTTATACCTCAACAAAAAGTTGACTTCTAATTTAACCTATAAGTTTTCGTTGACCCGGCCTAATCGACTCACCGTTAATTCTCAGTAACTGCGCTTCTAACAGCGTAACTGCGTCCGTTACAGAGGTCTCCGTTATTGTCGAACGACGACGTTTTAGAGAATCTGAGACTACAAAGTCGATCCTCAACTCGAAAAATCCCCAAATCAAAACCAAAACCCTAAAAATCAATCCCTCTCAATTTTTTCGATCAAATCTGCATTATGAGCTGCAATTCAAGGAATTCGAATGTTGAAAGTGGAGGTTGCAATTCAGGGATGATTTCGAATGTTGAAGCTGGAGGTTTCAATAGCCGTGGGTTTCCTGTTAAGTGTAAATGTGGGCTAGACGTCGTCATGTTAACATCGAGCACGCCGAAGAACCCTGGAAGGCCTTTCTTTCGGTGCAAAAGCTGTAAAGATGTAAGTATATTTGATTTGAGAATGTTATGTTTTTTGTGTTTGGTCGGTAAAAGCTTGAGATGAAATTGCAGGATCATTTGTTCAAATGGGTGGAGGATTGTATGTATGAAGAGGTTGTAGATGCTCTACCCAAAATCTCCAGCATTGATAACGAGATTATCAATGCAAAAGCTGAGGTTGCAGTTGAAATTGCAAACTTAAAGGAGCTAATGATAGAGTTGAAAGAAGATGGACTGTGGAGCAAAAGAGAAATTCAGAGATGGAAAAAGATGACGAAAGTGTGCTTGGTGTGCCTTTGTTTTAGTGTCATTGCAATTGTGATATCAATGTTCTATAAGACAAAAAACCAGAAATTTGTTTTTGGTTATTAGTGTGTAATCGAATTGATGTCTAAATTGTTTTCTCTTGTTGTTGGTCTTTGTTGTTTAGTTTCTGTTTGCTTGTGCTTTTACTATGTAATGAAATGGAGCTTTGCTAATGGTAATGAATTTCATTTGAAAGAAAAGGTCAAAGATTATGTCATAAAGACAAGTTCAACCAACAAAAAGAAACCGAGAGTAAGCTTATGTTATAAAGACAAGTTCAAACAACAAAAGAAACCGAGACTAAGCTTATGTCATAAAGAAAGACAAGTTCCAACAACAATAAGAACACGAGACTAAGCTTATGTCATGTTTGACGAGAACATTCAAACCATGATCCAAGTCCAGCAAGTCCTTGCGGTTGTGGTTGTGCAGTTCCATGTCTTCGATCAGCTGCTGGTTGTTCAGACACTTGTGATGTTCCACGACCTCTTCCCCTTTGTCTTTGTGCTCCACGAGCTGTTCTCAAATGTCTTTGTGTTCCACGACCTCTTCCCCTTTGTGTTTGTGTTTGTGACCCATTGTTCTGCCCTTGTGAGCCATTATCCACCCCTTGTGAGCCATTATCATGTCTTTGTGATCCTTCTACATGCCCTTGTGGTTCCTAATACAAACATTACAATCAGTTTTTGATGGACTTAAAACAGAAATGAAAGATATACAAACCTGATTTATCCTTGGTCGACCTCTTGGTCTCGTTGGTGGACTTAAAACAGTAGCATTTTTGCATGATTGCTTGTTGTGCCCTTCTTGCAAGCAGTTAGAGCATGTCATGATCCTCTTTGCCCTTGACATTTTGGTCGGATTTGAAGACACTTCCAACTTATATTCTCTCATGATCTCAGCAACCATCTCATGTTTAGTGAGCTTTGGATTCACTCTCAACCTTTCTTCAAACAAAAACCCAATGGATGACACCTTTAACATCTTTGAATATCCGGACCTCACACAAGTATGCTCATTGACATAACTTCTTATTTGCATCTTATGTTTTCTCTTCTCATAAGAGAAACGGACTCTCCACGGACATTCAACACCCTCATCACTAACATACACACACTTAGCAGCAACCACCATAGTTTCAGATTTGTAAAGTTTAATGTCATACCTTGTTTTTAGAGAATACATCAAAAGAGCAAGCTTGAAATCTTCAGGAGAGTTATAAGTCTTCTCCAATGCTAGTAAAACTTCAGGATCGCCTAGATCATTTCGAGCTTCCTCTACTCTATCATCATCTTCATCGTCAGATGAAAAAGGGTCTGTAATCTTGTCTTCATCCCATATATCATCTCCGCTGTCATTGTCACTAGCTTCTTCTTCTTCTCTATTAGCCTCTGAAAAATCTCTATCGATGTCTAGATTACCATCTTCTTCGACACCTAAACCAGCTGTATCTTCAACTACATCTTGAGCTTCCTCTTCTCCATTATCTACTGCATCATCAACCTCATCGCAGTCTTCATCTCCTTGGACTGCAAAGTCATCATCAATATCAGGAGGAGGAACTTCAGCCTCTAAATCCTCTTCTTCTTCCAATCTGATTTGCCTTCGTTTACTTCGCCTAAGTGGAGAACGAACTTCGGTTGCATCTGCCACATCAACGTTTGATACTACATTCGCTTGACCTCGAGCTTCTTCTCCAATTTGATCTGCTTCTCCTTCCCGCATTGCTTCAATCATATTTAGAATTAGGGTTTCGATTTGGGGATTCTTTTTTCGATTTTGGTTTGGGTTGGGGATTTCTTTTTTTCGATTTTGGTTTGGGTTGGGGATTTCTTTTTTTCGAGTTGAGGATCGACTTTGTAGTCTCAGATTCTCTAAAACGTCTATCTCGACAATAACGGAGACCTCTGTAACGGACGCAATTACGCTGTTAGAAGCGCAGTTACTGAAAATTAACGGTAAGTCGATTAAGCCGGGTCAACGAAAACTTATAGGTTAAATTAGAAATCAACTTTTTGTTGAGGTATAAAATGGCCATTTCAAGAGTTCACGGTTAATTTGGCCATTTTTCGAAAGTTTAGGTATTAAATAACATTTTTCCCATTTTAAAATTATTTTTACTCTTATTAATTTTATTTTTAAAAATTAATAATATGTTAAATTATTTGTAATGGAGTTAAAAGAATCTGGAGGAAGGATTTGATTTGACTGACAGAGAAGGCATCTATCTCTTTGGGATGTTCCATAAGTATTTATTATTATTGTACTCAGCATGTGCCTGTCTTTCATAATTCATATGCCAATCACAAAATTTGTGTTTTCAAATTAGTATAGAAAATTATTGGTTTTGAATTGTGAATTTTGTTTGGATAGTTGTAATTGTTAAGGCATCTAGGAAATTTTAGGTCTGATTTACATTTTAAAAATACTAATATGTTTTAGAGCGCAATAAACTTCAATTTTTTTAGGAAATCTAAAAATCTAAAAAAAAATGTATTCATTGTGTACATATGATTGTTTAATCTTTATAGGGAAATTATTAAAAATACCCCTTTTGGTGTGCCTCTTTTCAAAAATGCTTCTATTAGATGTCCATTTTCAAAAATGCCCCTTTTTAAATCTGAAATTTTTATAAAGTTTTATTAGGTTTATAAGGTACTTATGGATTGTAAATACTACTTGAAGACTCGATCCAAGTATTTATAAAGTTTTATAAGGTGTTTTTAAAGGTTTTACAAGTTATTTTAAAGATTTTTAAGGTTTTTCAAAAGTTTTACAAGATATTTTAAAGGTTTTTAAAGGTATTTAAAATGCATTTATAAGATATTTATAAAGTATTTATAAGATTTTAGATACATAAAAATGTAGTTTGTGTATGTTTAAATAATATTACATACATATTTGGGTAAATCTTATATTTTTAAGAATATTTTTTATAAAGTTTTAAAAAGGGGTATTTTTGAAAAGTGGCATTGAAAAAGTGGTATTTTTGCAAAAGCCCCCTTAATTATATATAGTTGTTCACTTGTTCCACTAAAATAAGATTTTTGGATGTTAGTTTGTAAATTTTATTTCTCACGATTGAATAATTAATAATAGAACTGACTTTTAATTAATGTGATGTTATAAAATTAGTTTTGAGTTGAAGTCCATTTTTAGAGATTTCACATTTCTTAAGAAACAATCATTTTTTAATTATTTACTTTTATTAAATATTTTTTAATATACTATGAACCAATAGTAATCTGAAACAGTTAATCATTACGTCTTGAAATCTACGATTTATTAAAATTAATTAACTAAAAAAAAAAAAAATTCTAGAAAATCAATCTTTGTGGAACAAACTCAAAACATTATAATATCAAACTTCAAGGAATAGAGGGAGTAATAGTTTGTTTAGTATAGATGAACTTCCAGCCCAAAACTAATTGGTTGTGAGTAAAAAACATCTAGTATATGAATATCTATTAGTCTCAAGTTTGCCAAAGTTTCCATGTGATTTTTGGTGTATTGATGCTAATCCATGCCTCCCTAGATAAAAGCCATAAGTTTATAAAAGAGTTTCAAATTTCAAAATTGTTTGAACAAGAGTTCTGAAATAGGTTTTACAAAAAAAAATAGTTAAAAATATACTATCCAAATCCAGAATTTGTAGTAAATTTCAAGATTAAAATAAACAATAAATTTCCTATCAAAGATAGAAATCCCTTTATTTTTTTATTTGATGTGTTTAGTATTTTGTACACAAATTGAGAAATTATTTAATCCGATCAAACCAAACCAAGCTAAATTTTGTTGCCGCTAGATTATCAAAACTAGCATCAACCTCTATGCTACGTCAAAATATAGCATTGTTTTGATAATCTAGTACGTTGTCTTTATTTGATGCTCATATTTTTCTCCAAGAAAGCCTACAAAAAGTTAATAGAATCCGGTTTAATCCGATCAAACCAAACCAAGCTAAATTGTGGTCTAAAGATTCTAAACTCTTAGAAAGCACTAATTTGGAAACATGGATTTCATGATACCTTTTTCCAAGTCATCGTTGCATTAATGAGTTAGCGGCAACAAGATTTGTACTTACTGATTATCTCTGTTCTAAAAAGCGGTCTAGGCGGTCGCCTAGGCCCCGACTAGGCGCTAGGCTCTCATTCGACGCCTAGATAACCGTCTTGACCGCCTAAAATTACATAGATCTTGTTTAATGTATTTTTTCAATTTCAATTAGAGTTTTATTTATATATATATATATATATATATAGTTATAAATATTTATATATTGTTTAATATAAATATAAATAAATATTTTATCTAGTTTTTGTTTATAATTTCATAATTTTTAGTTTTATATTAATATTTTATATAACTTTTATATATAATATCATATTTATAATGTATTATGTTATAAACGTCTAAACCGCCTAAAAAATCGCCTAGGTCCCGATTAGGCGTTCTAGGCGCTAGGCACTGAGTCACTGCCCGCTTAGCGCCTAGCGTTTTCTTGAACACTGCTGATTATGAATGAAATTATTTTCAATATATTAATAAAATTGACGAAATTGGACAACATTGGTTCATGAACCCTCTAAAGAAAATTTACATTGCTCAAGTAGACAAGACACAAAAACAAAAACATAACACTGTCTCCATCTCTCTTTCCTCTTCTTCCACACTTCTCTCTCTCTCTCTCTCTTTCTTCTCCCAAGAAAATAAAACACAATTTCCCAGATTCAAAACTTCTTTTTCAACGTCTTCAAAGGGATTAAGAATCTTTGTGTCTTCTCTTCTTTTGTTTAGTTACACAGAGAAAAGCAAAAGAAGAAGAAGAAAAACATCATCCTAACTTTCCCTTTTTGTATTATCTCTCTCTCTCTCTTTTACTCACTTTAAAGTCTCTTAATAGATTCAAACACAAAATCTTCCAGAAACTGCTTCTGATCTTAAAAAGATGATCAACCTCATGACCCACTTCTCCTAAAAAGTACCAAAACCAATTCCAATTTCAACACTATTTTTTTCTCTTCTTTTTCTCTTATTTTCCTTCAAAAGATTTGGTAAAAAAAATTTGTTTCTGATTTGTTGACTATGGAACGGAAGAGAGGTTGTAAGATCAGAAAGAGAGGTGGTTCTTCCTCTTCTTCTTCTTCTCTTGCTCGCCGAAACCGTTTCAAACGCGCAATTTTCGCCGGGAAAAGAGTTGCTCAAGATGATGGTGGTGGTGGCGGTGGCTCAGGAACTCCGGTTAAGTCCATCACCGCCGCTAAAACTCCTGTCCTGTTATCGTTTTCGCCGGAAAATCTTCCTATAGATCATCATCAATTACAGAAAAGCTCTGTGTCGGCGAGAAAGCTAGCTGCGACGCTGTGGGAAATCAACGACGACGCAGACCCTCCTGTAGATTCCAATAAAGATTGCTTGAGAAGCAAGAAACCGTCGAGACACAGATCGAAGAAATCAACAGAGTTCTCTTCCATTGATTTCCCGCCAAAATCATCCGATCCGATTTCTCGTCTAACCTCAGAGGTTAGGGTTTGCTTCAGTTTCAAGTTTCCTCTTGTTTTTTTTTTTCCTTTTCTCAAACTCTTAACTCTTAAAAATCAAATTTTCACAGAGAATCGATCTCCGTGAAGATTTAGTTCGTAGAAGACCAGGAAATCATCAGAAACTACACCTAATTGAACACAAAACCATTGTCACAAACTCGGTATGATTCGCTTTCTTACCCTAACAAAAGTTTTTCTTGTGGAAGAAGAAAGCTCTGATTAGTTATTTTACAGCTGAAAACTCGTTTGAAGAATGTCAGTGAAGGATTAACAACGTCTAAAGAACTCGTTAAGGTTTTAAAAAGGATCGGTGAGCTCGGAGATGATCACAAGACAGCAAGCAATCGTTTGATCTCTGCTCTGTTATGCGAACTAGACAGAGCAAGATCTTCTTTAAAGCATCTGACGAGTGAATTTGATGCGGAGGATGAGGAGAAGCGGAGGTTGATAGAGAGGCTACAAGAAGAGGCGGTGGTTGAGAGAAAACTCCGGCAACGAACGGAGAAGATGAACAGAAGATTAGGGAGAGAGCTTGCGGAGGCTAAAGAAACAGAGAGGAAGATGAAGGAGGAGATGGAGAGAGAGAAGAGAGCTAAAGATGTTCTTGAAGAGGTTTGTGATGAGCTCGCGAAAGGAATCGGAGATGATAAGAAGGAGATGGAGAAAGAGAGAGAGATGATGCATATAGCTGATGTTTTGAGGGAAGAGAGAGTTCAAATGAAGCTTACGGAGGCGAAATTTGAGTTCGAGGATAAATGCGCGGCCGTGGAGCGGCTGAAGGTGGAGCTCCGGAGGGTTTTAGATGGTGAAGAAGGAAAAGGGTCGTCGGAGATTCGTCGGATTTTGGAGATAATTGATGGTTCTGGTTCTGATGATGAGGAGGAGAGTGATCTTAAGTCGATTGAGTTGAATATGGAGAGTGGAAGTAAATGGGGTTATGTTGAAAGCGGGAGAGATCACCGGAGGGAATCAAGATTTGGTGGCTCCGGCGATGAGGACGACGATGATGATGATGATGATGATGATCCTGTGGAGAAGAGATCAGTGATTGTTGAGAATGGGGAGAGAGATGAGTCTTTGAAGACTCTGAGAGATTACATTGTTTCAAATGTTAGATGTGTCGGTCCTTCATCGTCGGAGCAGTGGAATCATCGGAATTTACCAAGCTCTGAGTTTGTGTAATCACCACCGCTAGCGCCGGCGAGAAAAAAAAGAATCAATTTTTTTTAGTATATATACATATTTATTTATTTATAATTTTATTAATTTAGTTTTTGGATTTATTTTCCAAAAAAATCAATTCAAGGATTTTTTTTTTTTTTATCGTTTACAACTTACACAACATGCATACTAATTATTGGATTTGGATTTTATTTTTTTTATTTTTTATTTTTTTTTTCCGTAAACAAAATCAATTCGCAGGAATATCATATATTTTTCGTCTACAACTCCAATATGTATATAGTCAGGGTTTTTTTTTTTTACTGTCTAGATTTATTATTAATTGCAAATTATGAGAACTGTTACATAGACGATTCTACAACTGACAATTTTTGCCGACCATTAGTAGATCCACGACAGACTACACTTCCTTCTTCATGATCTTGATGAATACTTTCAATGATCCACGACCTAGCGACACTTCCTTCTCTGCGTAGAATCCTGGCGCAAGGCTATAATTGTACATCGCTGGAGATCTCCTGCACACTTGCCTCCATTAATCTGCAAATTTGTTAATAAATCGCAATATCTGCAAATTTGTTAAAAAATCGACCCGCGGTGTACCGGGGAGTAAAATCTAGTACTCTTTTTATGATCGGAGTTTGTAATCAATTGGTTTGTAGTTTTGTCAGGATTAGAAGTCTATTATTGAACTTAAGTGATTATTTTCGAGAACAATTCACTAATTAGACCGTAAGTAGATGGATGTAGGGAATATGAGGATATCAATCAAATTGAGTTTAAATTGGAGGTGAAGGTACATTGCATAAAACTTCTTTGAGTTTGAGGACATTTATTAAAGAATTTATTTATATTTGGCTTTTGATGATATACACATGGAAATGTCGATTTGGTATAAATTAAATCATAATGATTACAACAATTAGAATAAGAAGGAACAATAATGTGATATAATTGATTCAAGATGGGATTAGTTTAAGATTTTGAATCAAAAACGAAACAAGACATTTTCTCTATTATTGTGTAGACATTTGGACAGCATCGTTCCATCTTCCCATGTGATTTTGTCTCAACTATATATCCGTTACGTTTCACCCTATTTGGTAATATTTCGTAACAATTCATCCAAAAAATTACAAAAATTAATAAGATGACATGAAAAACGAAAAAATGGCTCTTCATTTTTTCGATCATATAAACATGATTAGGTAATATGTAAATCCGTGTGAAAGATAAACGCATATAACAATTAGACTTGCTCTATGTCCCCCACTTGATATAGTATTTTAGCTATGAACTTTTATACTTACTATAAACCATTAAATCAAATCAATCAAATTAAGGGTTTTACTTTTTAGGTTCCAAACCTTTTTTACCTTTTTACATATATATTGAAATTTAGGGATAAACCTATCACAATAAAACCTCTATAACTTAAGAATATCGGGACTAATAAATTTTATTAATTAATAGAAATATTTAAAAGAAAAAATTTAGCTGTAGTAAATATTCTTAGAACTAATTACAAATAAAAAATCCTTCATTATTGTCTAAAAAACAACATCAAAATTTTTTAATGCAATAAAGCTCATAATGGTTATTAATACATCGAGTAATAATTTATATAGGTTTTACCGTAGCTCGTATTACAAAATAAAACTACTAAAGTTGAAGCGTAGAGTATAGAAGCATTATTGGGTGCCACTAGGCTAACTATTTTCTCTCATTGAAACCATTAATTTGATGAGAAATGTCAAATGCTAAAAACATTCGCATAATAGGTAGATATTTTGTCAGTGTGATCTTATCAAGTTCGTGTGTGGTTTATCTCTTTGTCTCCTCCTTTGTCTGTATAAACTTTGATATATACAATGAACCTATACAAATCACTATTTTGAAGACATTGATGTTACTAATATAGCAAATAGCAAATCAACTGTCAGTGGACAGATCGTTTCAAACATGGGCAAACTTTTGGTTTCGATTTGGTTTTCAATTTTATCAGTTTTATAGAACTTAAACCAAATAGAACTATACTTTGGTTTGGTTTTGATTCAGTTTGATGAAATATTGGTTTGATTTTGTTGGTGTTTGACTGGATATTCATTTAAAATACAGTCTAACACAACTAGTTTATTATTAATTTAATTCAAATTTTTGATTAAATACATTTTTAACATATAAAACCAAATTTTTAAAATTTTATATTTCGGTTCGTTTCGGTACGAATGTGTTAGTTAGCCTCTAAGCCAAAAAAAAACAAAAAACAAAACAATTCTTTTTTTTTTTTTTTAACAAAACAATTCATACGTAAAAAAAAACTCATTTTTTTGTCATATATTTGTATTGACATTTTGTGCTCTCATAGGGTGGAATAGTGGATACAAACAGAAAGGCCTAAGCCCATCACAAGGTGATAACTTAATTTTAAGATAGGAATATAAATAAAGAAAAAGGCCCAAGCCCATTAGAGGTGTTTGTGACTTGGATTTGTTTTGTACTTTTGGGTTTGTTTGTCTCTGTTATTTTTTCGTAAAAATTAACTCATCCTAACAAGTTACTGAATCACACTAGTTTTACGTACACACTTGAAGAACATGGAGCAAGCAGAACCAAGCATATAAACGAGGAAAAGAAGACAAAACTCAATCTAACGGTTTGGATTTTTTATTGATTTCAATCAAATTCTTGAAGTTTATTACACATAAACTTCATCAAATTACAGAGAAACTTCATACAAAAAAAAAAAAACAAATTACAGAGAAAGTTTGGGTCTTATACAAATGATCATTTGTTGACGGATTCATCTTTCATTACCTTTGACGTAGTGGAGAAACTAACTGCTTTTCTCGGATGCTCCCTTATGTTCAAGCTAAACACTTCAGGTCTCGAGTAATGCCCGACCACATCGAAATCAAACTTGGCTCGTGCTATGTCCCCAAGATCTATTATAGATTGTATGGATATGATTAGTAGTTAACTTATTTCAAGAAGGATAATGAATAACAAGTGTTAATAATTTACCTAGATCAGCTGTGATAAGAGCCTCTCCTTGATAGTTTGGTCCGGCTAGAACAATTCCCAAAGGTGAAATGATAGAGCTTCCACCGGCGCAGACAACAGAGTCCGGTGTTAGGCTCTCTTCTGAACCGGAAAACATGTATTCTGGTGAAGAAGGATAGTCTTTCCGGCGACAAAACTGGTTAGCCGACAAAACAAAACATCCACCTTCAAGAGCGATGTGAGTCATTGATGCTAGCCAAGTCTCTCTAGAATCAGCAGTAGGTGCACAATAAATCTCAATGCCTGCAACATCAGAACAGTGTAACACACCAACATGATCAAATCACAAGCAACACACTGACACATCTGACTAGAGTCCACACTTATCCTTTGTGGAAGCAAAGAGAAGAAACTAACCTTTGGCATACATTGCGGTTCTTAAAGACGGCATCCTATTTTCCCAACAAATAGCAGCACCGATTTTGCCAATAGGAGTATCGAAAACAGGGATGGTTGATCCATCTCCAAATCCCCAGATGCAACGTTCAAGAGCTGTAGGCATGAGTTTCCGATGCTTACCTAAGAACAGACCTTGTGAATCAAAGAAAAGAACGGTGCAATATAGCGTATAGCCTTCCCTCTCTATCACACCCATAACCAAGAATACTTTATACTTCTTGGCCATTTCCGCCAATCGTTCCACTTCAGGGCCTAAAACAAAGATACACTGATTAATAAGTAGTTAAGTATTTTACACTTGGTGATTCAAGAAACACAAGAACTAGTTGAGACTGAAACACTCAAGCCCATTCATATTGAGACTTAAAGACTTTTGGAACAATCTCAGTTTCAGACAATTGAAAATTCCCAAACAAATTCTCACTCGTCTCTGATTCAGAAGAAGATCCAAAATCGAAAAAAGGTGAGAACAAAATTGGAGATGGAGGAGTTTTACCAGGAACATGAATGGCAGAAGCATGGTATTTGCGAAAATCATCTCTTCCTTTAGCGGTTCGAGCACCAATCGCCAATTCGAAGCTAGAGCCACGAGGATATCCACCGATGAAAGCCTCCGGGAACACCACAAGCTGAGACCCATTATCCGCCGCCTCAGCAAGCAATCTCTCCGCCTTATCTGCAAAATTCAGTGGATGAATGATCTCATCTCATCGCATCAGTTCCGGCGAAAAAATCGAGAAATTAAAAAGATAAAAGAACCTAGCGTGGCGGGGGTATCGTAGAAGACGGTGGAGGCTTGGACGACGGTAGCTCGTACGATGGAGGAAGAATCGCCGGCGGACATGTCAACCTCAGGGAAGATTTGATCGACGGGAGGAGCCGCCGTGACAAGAGACATTTCTTTTTGCATGGTCATGATGAGAGAGAGAAAGAGACGGGAGAGGAGTGATTCTATACGTATCTATCTTGTTTAGCTATTTATTTTGTACACAAAACATGATGGTAACCCACGAGTATCCGGCTCTTTATAGTTACTAATCACAAAAAGATATCAAATCGCTATTTTTATTTTTTAGAGTTTTCATGTACCATTTTTTATACAATTTTGTATTATTTCGTAAAAACATACAGCTTTACCTTATAGCTAAAATTTTCATACAATTTTGTGTTACTAATAAGATTTAATATTTATTTTAGTGTATTTTACTCTCTTTTTTATGTGTCAATTTCCTATTATATTGAATGAAGGAAATGGTAAAAAATCCTCATTTTTTCTACAAAGATTTTAAAACCACCAACTATTTATATATTAATATGTCTTTTTGAATATATAATTGAAATTAATGAAAGTTTACTTGATTCAATCAAAAATATCATGTTTTGTTTAGTATTTTATGTATATTACGATGGAGCAATCCAAATTGATGTGTCAACCTAAGAGAAGATTCTATCAACGTTGACCGGAGGAGCCGTCATGACAAGAGATTCTTGGTGACTGGTCACGATTAGGAGAGAGAGAAAGAGAGAGGAAATGAGTGATTCTAGTGTACGTAGTATCTTCTTCCTATTCGCTTTGGTTGGTAGGTGTTTACACAAAAACATGAGATTTTTTTATTTTACTCTCTTTTTGTGTGTGTCAATTTCCGATTTTACTAAAGGAGGAAATGCCGAATTGGGTACAAAATCCTCATTTAAAAAAAAAAAAAATCTAAAAACATTATAAAAAAAAAC